TTTGACAAGAGAATGTTACTGTCAACTTTAGCATCCTGAAATCTATTCAGTGATGGAGTGGATGTGGTTCAATTGTTTGTTTGCATAACTGGTTTTTCACCTTGGAGTTGTATCCAAATGGACTGAAGAATTTTTTAGGTATAATTATTGCTTTTATTTTAAGTGGTTTCTGGGCTCAATATAAGCTTAATTGAAACAATTGTTTTGTACCGAGATTTAAGTGGTTTTTAGGTATGATTTATAATTCATATTTTGAGTTGTATCCAATTGCATTGCTGTTGTAGGTGTTGCATTAGATAAGGATATAAGGATATTGGTTTTCCGTTTGGAAACAGCCAGCTTAAGTTTTCTTCTTTGTTACAATAAACACCTTAAAAACCATTTGGTATTTTTCCTCGAAAATATTACAGTGGATGCCCAACCTAGGTAGAAAATTACAGAGGCAACCTAAGTGTTTGGACTGCATACACTTTTCCATTTTAGTTCTATGTGTGTAAGGATATATGTATGACATTTGTTATTGATGTTATATCGGTGATTTTATATATATATATCTTTTTAAATCAGAAAGTCACTTGAAAAGATTGTACTTCTCTTTTTATTTTATTTTATTTTAACATGGTTATAATCTATCTTCCTGTAGGGGTGGATGATGTCAGAAGCACATCTTAATCCTGGCCGAGCTCGTCTTATCAAGTGATTAATTTGGACAATATACTGGTACTTAATTTCCCTGCAAAGGCTTTAACATATAAATTATGGACAGCTTTAATACTTGTTGCAAACATACAAACAGAAGATGCAAAAGAGGGGTTAAAAGGGCTTGTCACCACAATATCATATCACTGGGACCATGGGAACCATTTGTCTCATTACGCCTGTCAGATCTAGGTCGAGCTTTGTTCAGTGTAACAAAGACTTTAAATGAAGATGGCATGGTGCAGTTTATAAGGTGTAGAAATGAGTGGTAATAAATGATGGATTAATGCACAGAGGCCGACATTGTAGAGTTTTTTTCCCTGAGTTTTGCTTTCTTAGTTATAAGTTTTTTTTTTTGTTCCCTTTGTTTCATTTTTGTCACGTTTGGCCTTGTCAATATATGTATGGTGTAGGTGCAGAAGAACTTGTATAAATATAAGTGAATGAATTTTTCGTTTGACCATTACTGCAGAGTTGATAATAATAGCCACTTTTTTTCATTGAATGACAATCACTGTTATTTTTCTTTCTGCGGTTGTAGAATGATGTGAAAACTGGACTTTTCTGTGCCCTCTTCTCTTCCTTCTCAGGAAACATATCATCTACTTAATTCAATTGTGTTTTGTTCTGCCATGTAAATTGTAATGAAGAAGCATTTTATTCCGTTAATCTAATTCTAATTCTAGTTCTAATATGAGGGAATGAATTGAATAAGAAAGGAAGGAAGAGGAGGACATCCTCTTTGTTGACTAGAGTCACATCGCTGTCTGCCACTGCCTCTCTCTCTCTCTCTCTCTCTCTGACATGTTGCATGTGTGTATGTTTGAGCAGCATCGTCTCGTCTTGTAAATAATAGCATTCTATTATTATTTATGAGTTCCTTCCTCTTTCTTCGCTGCTAAATAAACTTTTCAAAATGCATTCTAAATTTACTCTTACTCGCCAGGTAAAAGAAAGAAAAAAAGATTCTGTGGCTTTTGTTTTTTACCTGCAAATTTGCGAGGTGTTTGCTATACAAATTTGCAATACGTGTTTAGTTTTTCTCTTGAATTTGTTCCATGTAGTTTTGAAGATGCATTTCCAGTGCGCGGCCAGCTTTTAAATATGGCTCACAAGATCATGGGGCTCTTAAATGAAGAGTTGTAAAATTGCATTCTGTTTAATCAGTTTTTTTCATGGCATCTCCACAAGTGCATACATTGGTTTAAACTCAAAACTCACCAACATAAGAGCATCTTCAAGGGAGATGTTAAATTCAATGTGGCACTTTTAGCATGTAGAAAAAATAGTCGAGACTCACTCCAACCGAAATGTTAAATCCTATGTGGAATAACATTTCTCTCTCTTGTTATTTTTAGTTGTTTGACATTGTGATGTTATTTATTATTTTATTATTATTTTTCAATTAATATGCATATATTGTAGTAAAACCAATAAACAATATGTTAAAAAAAAATATATGTAATAAAATAATATTTTAATTTGACATATCAAGTGGAATATAAAACTCCATTACTTGTCAAATTGCCACATAAGCTATCAAATTCAAATTTTATATTTGATATTTGTCATCTCCTTTGTAGAACTAGGGACAGTCCTATGTCCAAGCTAATTTGGGCTATAGTCCGGGTGACTTTATTTTTTTATAGCCCAATATTAATACTCAGGACAACCTAAGCACATCCCCACACACCCCCACACACCCCCATCCCAGTGATCCCACCCACAGAAAATCTCATATTTTTTTCTTTAGTTAACTAACCCCACAAGTTTGGCAGTAAGTAAAACAATAACTAACCCCATATTAATACTCAATCCCTTTTGTAAAATAATGATTCCTAGAGAACATCCTTTACCTAGTGTACAGAAAACGCCAATTGATATAAGTCAAAATTGTTTAGTCATTTGATTATCTACATTTTAATTTTGGTTTTATCTAACAAACGTTTTTTTGTTGCTGATACATTTTAGATAACAAAACAACTCAAATTTCAATTTTTTTTTTTTGGTAACGATAACCTAAAATATGAACAATTGCGATCATTAAACTTCATTGTTGGATATCATTACTAATGTAATACATCATTAACGTAGAAAACTTCAAGGACCGTTTTGGTTCAAGTTTTATGAGCTTGGGATGGGTTTTAAATTGCATTCCCTTGTTTAGTAAATGCAATCTTGGGAATGCAATTATGGACTCATGGGTATGGACTTCCCATGTAGTGGGGAAGTTCATAGCCTTGGCTGAACTTAGGATATTTTTCCTCCCACTGGGGAAAATTTAATGCAAGTTTTTGGGACTACTCTACCCTTGTTATAATTTGCATTCCAATGTTTGGTAAGCATTTAATGCAAGTTTTTTTAAGAGTATCGTTGGAAAACTTAACAATTTGTCATTCCTAATACTGCACAAACCAAACATGGAAATGGGAGAAAATGGTCTTTCTTAATCTTTATTTCCCAACGTTCCTAAACACGGGAATGAATATCTTTCATTCCCATCTCATGGAATTAAACATGGAATGGGAAGTTCACTCCCATAAAATTTAATCCGCTAAGCAGCCCTTAATGTTCCACAATAGTAGAAGGCATAAGTGTAATGAAAGAAGGTAAGAGATGCATCATGCATGTGAAAAAGCAGAGAGCACTTAATAATAGTTTGGAGGTGGTCAGATGTGGTCAGATATGATATCAGAGGTGTCTAAAACTTTAAAAACTATACGTAGAATTAATGATGCATGTGATGTGGATGGAACAGAATGTATAAATTTTCCATATCCAATTTACAGTTTTACAAACTGTTTATTTTTTAATTCATGTTATTATATATAATGTACTGTTGTTTGTAATTTTGTATTATGTGCGACGGAGGGGAGATGGCTGGTCTGAGACTCTGAGGTCTCGTCGTGTCTCAAATCTTTGTTTGGGTGTTGTCATTTAATATGCAATATGTTTTTCTTCTTTTTGGCATTGATCGAGGCATTATTAATTATACTTTTTTGCTTTTCCTTTTCATTTCTTTTTGCATTTTCTTTTCTCTGTTTCTGTACCAAAGAACATTCCTACACCACAAACAATGTGCATCAGAAACAAAAAGTGGCTGCCTTTTCTTGCTGTTTTTTCTTTACTTTAATATCACGTACGCACCATTTTTCTGATTTTTTCTTTTGCTCAAAACAATTGAAGCATTTTGTACCCTCTCTCTCTGGGAATGTTATCAACCTTACCATCTCATTTGGATTTTCTCCATTCTTTTCATGACAAGTGTTATTTTTCTTATACTTAAAACAATGTTATTAATGCATCACACAAGTTAGTTTTTATTTACCAATCTAGTTTTTGTTTTCCTTCCTTGTTGAAAACTATAAACTCCCACGTCATAAATTTGACAAATAAAATATAGTAGATAATTGAATAGTTCAACTAATAATAATAATACTAAGGTCTTTTTTAAGAAATAAAATTTGACACATAACGAGCTATATATGCAGGTAATTAAGTTAGCCACAAAAATAAAATCAATGTTGGATTAATTATTCATGGACAACTGATTCATCTCTTTGAAATTTTAACATGATATCAAAGCATGCTGATACACTAGTACACTCTAATCCAAAGTTTTGGGAGAAAATAACAAAATTCAACACATTGTTTTGTCATCTTGAAATACATTAATCACTTTTTTTTAATACAAGTGATGGCATGAACTACAAGGGGTAAAGGAGTTTCTTACACACACATTAGGTGCTATGGGAGTTCGAACTTGAGACCACTGATATGCAAATGAAGGCTCTTTACAAGAAATTTCAATTTGGTCACTGATAAAATAATTTACCTAAATTGATCACTGTATTTTCTCAGTGACCAAATTGAAATTTCGTATAAAACCCACAAAAATGTATTTAACCCTATTTTTCTCTCTCACACACATACACACACTATCAATGTGTCATGGGGTTCGGACAAAAAAAACTTTAATTACTTCTTAGAGGGTAGTAGTTAGTACATTGATTAATTTTTTATGAAACTCATCAAACTGTGCAAATGGAATAAATTTTTAACCGCTAGCAAGATCCATGGTTAATATATGCCTCTTCTTTCTTTGCTTTTTTATTCCTGTGTCAGCTAGATTCTTAGGTATTAGTTACTAGAAAATATAACACATATAATATAAGTCCCTTTCAATACTGGACAAGAACATGAACTAGCCATAACTCACTGCTAAAACCCAATTTTCAAAAACTAGATTGCATAACCACCAATGCTATTCCATATATATATATATATAAAGAAAACTTACGAAAATATCAAAGAGGACAAAATTATAAAATAAAATAGAAAAAGACGTGGTAAATTAAATATGATAATCAGTACTATAAGCTAACTACTGGTAGAGTTAAGCACAAACTGAAAGAGGATGATGAGAGAGATGGTAATTAATTTTTTATTAATTGATATTAAGCAGGTGGGGGTGGGGGTGGGGGTGGTGGGGGATTCTTCTTGGCAAGATTGTGTTTGTTGTTGTGCATCCAAACCTTGAGAACTCTTCTCTTGACCCCAATCTCCTGGCAGAAGTTTTGTACCACAGAGTCTTCTTGCTTCTGAATCTTCCACCCAACTTTCTCAGCAAAGTTGAACATTTTTTCCTTCTGCTCCTGTGTAAACTTTGTCCTGAACCTTTTCTTTGCTAGCTGTGCTGCTGCTGGCCTGCCCACAACCCCACCACCATCATGCTCCTCCTGTTCATCAGACTCTGAAGGGAGGGCCCCCATACCCATCCCCATTCCCATTCCCATGTTGTAAGACATTATCATCTGGTGGGGTGCTGCTGTTCTTGATGAGGGCATTGTATGGTACCCTAAACCCTCTGGGGGGGCTGCTAGTAAATTCTTGTGATGGCCAGGGCCTAATAGGAACTTCCTGCTTCCAACCCCAACCCTGTTGATAGTATGATGAAAGTTATGATCCCAAGAGGAGGGGGAGGGCTGCTGCTCACCTTCTACTTCTTTTCTGTGGAAGTTTCTGTGACAGTTGCAGGCTGAGCAGTTGAGAGCTTCAATGGTGCCTTCTTCTCCACTGGGCATGAATTCACCACACCCGTCAGTTGCAGTCCCTCCCATGGCTGCTGCATGGTTCTTGAGGCACTCTTTGTACTTCACCCCCACTTTCTTACAGCTGTAGGGCACAATGTTCACATGCTCCTCCTCCTCATGATGAGGATGAGAATGGTGGTGATGGTGATGATGATCTAGGCTTGTGGGCATGGAAGAGCCATTAGTGTTGGAGGGATTTTGATTTTGGGGCACGGCTGAGGAGGGAATCAAATTGGAATGGTTGTGGGGCACTACTGCTGCTGCTGCTGCTGCTGCTGCAGGGTCATGATGATGATGATTATGATGGATCATGTGCCCATGCCCATGCCCACCACCATAGGAACTATTTATTGGGATTGGGATCTCCCCAGCTTCTTGACTTGAAAGTTCCATTATATAATCAGTCCTAGCTAGATCTTTCTCTTTTTCCTCTAGGTATTATTTTAATGATTTGGGTCTTGTTTGTTTGGTAATTGGAGACCAAAAGAGAAGGAACAAGATAGAGAAATAGGAGGCTTGGCTCGAGCTTGAATGATTAGAACTAAAAAGTGGTTAGTTTTTGGCTCCTCAAATACCTAGGAGTTTAATTTTTTGACAATTATGCTCTCTAGCTTTTAGTGAAGCAAACAAAATGGAGAGGGGAGAGAAGAGGGGAAAGAAAGTTTGAACTCTGGGATATGGGGCCTCCTCTTAGGGCTAATATTAAATCCTTTTGATCAAAGAACAAAGTGCCAACTAAAAGGTCATCAGCCACCTCAACTTTGAATATACATATCCATACATACATATATATCATCAGCTGATCTCAACTTAGAAGGAAAGAGAAAGAACAAGCAAATACTAGTGTACTACACCCAGAAAGTTGGAAACTAATCTAAGCAAATCAAACCACCTTTTCTCTGTAGACTCAACATATCTCTATCATTTGAAAGAGATACACATAGAGGGGGGAGAAGGAGGGAGGGAGTGAAGGGGGGTCACCACTCAAAGACTTCCCAAGAAGGAAAATGATGGTTGGAAAATCAATAAGAAGATGAGACAAAGCTAGTAGAGAAGTAAACCTATTTTTTCTTTCTTCCTTTTGGATCCCACTAGAAATAGAAATCGAGAAAGAAAGAAGGAAACAGCAGCAGGATGAACACGCCAACTTCCCTTTGAGAATCTTGCTCATGAGCTTAAACAGTAGCAAACAGCACCTTCGGTTTCCATAGCAGATTAAAGCCAAACTAAGAGGATGTAAGAAAGAGGAGACAGTCTTTGGCTAAAAATGGGGGAGAGAAACAAATCATGAATTACTAGTGGACAAAAGAAAAAAGAGTAAACTGATTGATTAATTTAGGGAGCTGAGTTAGTGAGTGGTGAAGAGAAGATAGAGGAATATGAGAAGAGGAAGAGGAGATAGTCAGAGGGATAGAGAGAAAGAGAATAGGTAGCTAATGGCTTAGCTCGCTAGAGAGTGCTAGAACCTAGTTTTGGAGGTGGGTTTTAGCTAGTGAAGCACTAAATATTAATATCAGCTTACACACAGCTACAGTGACTAGTGATGAGGGGCCCAAATAAGAGAGAGAGAGAGAGAAAAAAGCAGTGCTTTTATTACAGACAAAGAGGAATACACAGTGAGTTTTTGGAGAAGCGAGTTCAAAGGGCACCCCAAAACCCAAAAAAAAAAAGAAAAAAGTTGGGTGCTTGCTTAAAGCATTGCTTGCACTATCAGGCAAGTTTACGCCATCTAGAGAGCAGTGTGTGTCAGAGAGTGGAGAGGTGGACAAAGGAAGCCAGAATACAATGCCAAGGAGAGAGAGAAGAGAGAAGAGAGAAGAGAGAACCAAAAGGAATGATGAAAAGTAATGTTGCCCAAGGGAAAATTAGCAAAAATCTTCCTCTTGATCTTGTATAGTTGTATTTTTATATTATGAGTATGCTGGACTTGAATTTAAAAACCGCTTGAACATTCTTTTCCTGCCTTTGGTCTTCAGTCTTCACACTCTCAAATGCCGCTCCTAATCAAGGCCTAATTAATTAAGATCCAATAATTATTACTTTGAGTATATATAGCATGATTAATTAATGACATGGCATGACATCTTTGAGGATTAATGAAGCTGCATAATATTAATATATATAAGTGTACAAAACCATGCATACAACAACTGCTACTGCCCCCACTGTTGGGTTCATCTGCATGCAACAATTTGGCTACTTAAATAATAAAAAATTATAAAATCTAGTGTCCTCATTCACCCTTGTGAGTTAAAAGAGAGTATCATGCTACTCATGTGAACCATTTATTATCAAATTATCTGAGTTAGAGAAATGTTTGGAGAGCCTTACTTTTTGTTTCGGATTTCACATATATATGTAATTTGTTCAAGAAATTGGAGGCACTCTTGTGCGAATTTTAATCAAAATTCTAATATTGTTTGTGTCTCTCCCATGCTTTTCTTACCTTAACTAGCTAGCAAAAACTAGAGTGAAGTTTTCTCACAATAGATAAATCCTTAAGCTTCTTATACATTCATTTGTTTGAATATCTGAATTTCTCACAGTAGATAGGAAAGAATTGTGCTTTAAGCAAGCCTAATCGCTAAGCAAAAGGATTCGTGCTCAAGTTAGGTTAAGTCTTCTATAAAAAGAGGTTACAAGGTAATGATGACAATTTCTTTCACTATATTAGGTTTTTTCAAGTGCTAATGATGATATGCTCGCAATTTATGCAATATTTTGATCTATACTTGAGGCTAAACAAAGAACGTCACCTAATCCTAATTTTGTATAATGTAATATTCACTTATCAAACTTATGTAGTATGCTTGTTGTCACACTCTGAATTTAAACCACGCAGACAAAAATCAATTTAATAACAACAGTTCTTGCTAAACTTTAATGTGGGTATATTCATGATCACAAGTGTGTTGTATCATGCATCAAATAAGGGATATTACTCAATACGGCAATGATGTCCCCTTGGAAAACAGAGATCATGACAATGCCAAATCAATTCATACAGATTCATCACAATCACATGAAATATGAGAGAGAGAGAGAGAGAGAGAGAGAGAAAAAAAAAATAGTTCAACTATCTAATCCAACAGTGATGTATAGTACCACGAATCTTAGCAGTATGATTACTTTAGAGTTTGATATTAATGAATCCTAGTAAAAGTAGTAATCTGAATTTTAGTAATATATATATTTATAATGCATGGAATAGCCAATGTCTGGTATAGTTTTCCTAGAGTGCCCTCAGCAAATAGCCCATATCTTTCTGCTCCTTAAAAACCACAAAAACATGTTTTAGATTTCATACAAACTCAAAATAGTTATTACATTTACGCAAATAGCCAATGTCTGGTTGAGAGTTGAGAGTTGAGAGAGTGCTGGAAATTACCACAATATTAATGTTGTTGTCCGGTAAAGTTTTTCTTTACACATTCTGCAGTGCAGGGAGAAATTATATATATTTTATATTTAAAAAATTTAAACTTTATTCAAATCACTTTATTCTTTTATTATCTCTCCTTTATTCCAATATCGACACCACATTTAAGTCCTTTATCCATCTTTAGCTTTTTGTTTTTATGTTTGTTTGTCTCTTTTTCTAGTAATTCTTTGTTGCTCTTCGTTCAGTCTTTGAATTGCATGAAGGAAAAAAAACCCAAACTTCATATTTCAGTAATAAAAACAAAAACAAAATTTTTGCTAAGATTAGATATGGATATGCTCTGAGATACTGACCTGAGTAAGCATATGGCAGGAGGAACGTCACCGTCGTTGCTGCTGAGCTGAGAGCGAATCGACGAATCTGTACAAGAAAAACCAGATCTGAACCTTAAAAGATACCCAAAAAAAACTATCCAGCAAAATAGATCCAATCGATGCCCAGTAAGAAACAAAAAGAGAAATCAGACAGAGATGAGAGGAGAGGAAGAGGAGAAGAAGATAAGAAGAAGTTGACGCTAGGTTTTCTTCAGGAGAGAAAGAGAGAAGAAAAAAGAATGAAAGAAAAAGAGAGAGAGAGAGAGAGAGAGAGAGAGAGAGAAAAAGGGAAGGATTAATTATGTACTGCCGGGAGAATGGGCCACAAAAATAAATGGTATTGATGACACATGATGCAGCTTGATCACAATTTTCAAGATGCCTCTCAGAGCCCAAAATTCTCTTTTTCTTTTTAATCGGAAAAAAACAAAATTTGATTCCATCCATCTCCATCAGTCACTGCTGCCCTAATTCTCTTTTTTGCGTGTCTACTTATATTTACTTTATTTTCTGCCATTTTTGGAAGCCAATTAAAATAAAATAAAATTGTAGATAGGGAGGGTGGTTGGATGGAGCATGTGATTCCACGCCATTTACATTGGTTTTTTTTCTTCTTTCTTTTTTGGCTTTTCATATAAAGAAACAAAGAAACAAAAAAACTAAAGATAAATCATTTTTAAGGATTTATTCTAATAATATTCACTTTATTTATTTTGTCAAATGAAGACTAAAACTTTTTGGTCTAGTAAAGCAAATTATATTCTTGGTCAATTAGATTGGATGTTATATTCATAGGAATATATATCATAATAAGATAGATAGAAAGAGAGAGATAGCAACTTTAAAGCTTTGTTCTGATAATCTCATCTCACCTACTCCTCTTTCCAAAGGTGCAGAGCATGCCTTGGCCCTTGTCTTAGGAACCCCCCAAATCTTCCTTTAAGAGGCAATCATATTCATTTTACGAATCAAATTGCCTAGTTTTGCTTCCTTCCTTTTCCCTCTCCCCCTTTCGGTTCTCCGCTTAGACTTTGACATGCTTACAACAAACTTGCTTTGCTTTATCCATTATTTTATTAGAGCATACCTTTATTGATATTTTCTTTTTTTTCTTTTTTTTGGGTCTTTTCCTTTCACTTATATATATATATATTAATTATCAGTTGCCAAATAATCTGATCAATTCAATTGCAAATTCAACAAAGGTGGCTTACATTACATGCATGGTTTTCGAGTGAGGCTAAAGATATATGAACCAACTATCTTTTAGTCTAGTGATCTTTCTCTTTCCCAATATTAAAGACTTAAATCGGGAAATAAGCAGGAGACAATGCATATAATGGTTATATTTGACACAAGTGCTGTAAACAATCATTCATTCAGATGAATTGAGCCATATATATATAACATGTATTATTCCCCGACTTAAGTTGTTCATATTTTTTAGGATTTTTTTGGTTTTCAATTAGCTATATCCCTTTTGAAAACCCAAGGGTAGCTAAATACATGTTATGTCTGCCCTGGTAATAGATTGAATGGTAAGAGTGCGAAGGTGACCACCACCAGTATATATAATGGTACCATTCTTGCTAACTTCATAAATACTCATGCACACACTCTTTTTTTTGTTCTTGCTTCTTTCTCTTCCTTTCTTCTTTATAAGGATGTTATCATTTTCATTCTTGTAAAGCATATAGCAGCTCCAGCTTTAATGTGTTTGGTTCCCTTTGGGGCAGAAATAGCGATTTCTTTTCTTTAATTGTCAGGATCCGAAACAGGCCGGCCATCATTCTATATATACATATCTCATTTCCTACTCATGCTGTTTATGTCCAAATTTTTCCCAATTTTTTCTTTTTCTGATCCACTCACGTTTCTTAGACCAACCGCATTTATTGTCTTCATGCCTTGATTCACTTCTACCCTAAACGACATGTGATGCACATAAAGGCATTGACAACTAACTACTCAAACACACAATTCAATCTTTTCTAATATTATAGCTTTTGCTTCAAAGTCAGCTAGTTCTTCCACAATAATTTCAATTCTCTTCTATTGCATTTGCACTGTCTTTGAAAATAGTCTGGTAGAAATTAAGCCCTCCACCAATATATGAACAATTGGCAATATATGGATCGAGAGGCCAGAGACCTTTTAAAGAATTATGTAAGGAAATGTGAGATAAACTCTCAACACAGTGTCACTCAATCAAAGATATGAAAAAGCTAATTACGAAAGGGAGCTGTTATTGGCAATCCAAAAAAATCATCATGGCGTACGTGTTTTCAAGGGAGCTAAAAGGTAATATAATACTTAATTGGAGTGTCTTACCAGAGTTCACAGTTGCTTAAAATTGTGGCGATTAAATAACTTGCGCATGTGTTTCCATTTTGAATTGAAGCCTGAGTTCAGTTGTGTATAGGCTGTCTGTCTAGATCTGCACTTGAGAGTGGCTTATTTGTCTGCCTAGATATGCATATAATGGCATCTTTGTAGGTTGCTTTCAGCAACAACATATGGAGGAGAGATATATATGGGTAATCATAATCATTCCCCTTCTTTTCTTTTCTTCTTTTCTTTTAGTTTCCTTTTCTTTGGGAGCTTGGGGGGATCAGAGGCGTGACATAAAATTGTAGGCACATTTCCATACTTTGGTAAGCATCTGAAAAGTTGATTAATTTCCATTCCAAGCTTTAAGCATGTGTGTGTGCTTTCTGTGGTTAAATTAATTTATATTCAGTGGTTTGATTTGAACAGTGGGTAGGCAGTAGTGCTTTCTGTTTTTTCAGGGCCCTACCCTTATCGATCGTAGAATCAACAGTACATGTTACTTTGTTTTAATCTGCGCTTTGACATATAAAAGGAAAAGACTATCTAGCTAGCCGTTGGGAACATTCCCACCACTTTATAAATTTTGTCTGGACTTAAGACCCAGAGGCCACGTATGTATGAAGGGACCAAATTAAAGCTCTGTCTTGGGGTAAGGCATAAGATTCAAAGCAATCTAACTCAGAAAACACTATTATACGGCACCTTCCCTTTTACAAAGCCCGTCCGTTAGTATCCACCTGCATCCTTCCCAAGTTCCCAACCCCACCACCACCTTCTAATCTAATGTATGATTGAGAGAGAATGTGATAAGGAGGGGAAGAGGGGGAGAAAAGCAGAAAAAAGCAAATTGCATTGAATTCCCTTCAACTATTCATATTTCCATATTTAAGTTTTTACTTATCGGTTCTTATGTACTCAAACTTGTCTAAAGAATGAAGAAAAGTATCATTCAGACGATGCATGGCAGTTTTTTTATTTGCTAATTGAAAAGCATCGGACCATGCATGGCAGTTTGCATGCAGAAAAGAACCTCCCCTCAGTCTCTCATGGCTGATGATGCATCATGCATGGTGCATGTATATTACATGTTTGTGTAGTCTTCACTCTACAGGATTACCAAAAGAAATCTTCAGTGTGCAGATTCAAGAAATTAATAAGCACTTTGACACCTATCATTTATTATTTACTTTATTATTTGACTTTGAGGTATACAACACAAGCAATTGCGTACATGACATGTGTGACTCTGAGTAAAACAATAAGATGAAGTGGCGTGTAAGAAAACACCAATGAGTTATATATCTGCAATTTTCAGGAAAATGTTTCGTGTTTGCTGGGTACAGTGACTTTTCCCCACTGTCTTCTCACACAAGCAGGGAAAGAGTTCGCTCCTCAATTTAAAATAGGCACACTGCACGGCAACACCTCTTGACTTTGTGTAGTAATTCTTGAACCAATGTTGAAAGATAATCACCTCCTTTTCTTTTATTTGTAAGCTTTAACTTTTATTAATTTGAGAACTGGGTCCATAAACTATTTGTACCAGAACATACGTCGACATCATATTGTAAATCACATCTCTAATCTCTAATAAAGCGGATTTAATGTCGACTATGAATGTACTACCCAAATGTAGTATGACTAACATCTTGATCTTGTTTAATGAGAGGTAAAGTGCTGAGGTATCCATTATCAACTCTGCCCCTCGTGTAAACGGGGGATTTGAAAAACATTTTTTATTTTCCTCAATAGAAAAAAAAAGGTATGATCATTGATATTTTCTTGTTTTCAGACCCTTGAAGTGAACTCATTGAAAAAAAAGCCTCAGTTTGTTTGCACAACCTATAAACTAGCAAACATCAAACTTGACATAACCACCTATTGTATCTTAGATCACTCACTTCATTAAAAGAAACGACTTACGATTCTGCTCCTTCACTACTTTGATTATAATGCATTAAATGGCAGAAGCACCTTATGATCCAAGGCATAAGGTACACGAGTTTAAATTACAATATGCAATCATAATCACATAGACGGGGCAACTGTGAATTGTGCTGGTACAAAACAAAATTCTTCCGGAAGATATATTCAGATGTTTCAAACTGTTTGGTCATCCAGAATTTGAGGTACAAGCCCAAAGGACAAGAGTTTATAAGGATCATGCTACAATTACAATCCAAGTAAATGCAGAGTAAGGACCTGAATCATGGCTACAATAAGCAACCATCTAGTGTACACATTTGTAAGGAAAATTAGACCTCATATACATTCTGTAACCAGTAACAGATAATCCAATTCATTTATACCTACAATAACCAAAATAAGGCTCTCAACCCAATATATTTCTTTTCTGCATGTATTGGATCAAATTCATTTAGATCCCAGTCATTTTGTCCCTTGATATTTTCTTGATTATGAAGACATGTGTTTCCTTTGTCATATTGTGTCCAAAAAGCATTTGAAAAAGAGAGTTGCCATGATTGAACCCAATAACAAAGCTCTAGCCTTTGAGGAACATATTTCTGAACTCATCATTGGATTTTGGTTTTTCTTCACCTTGTTCTTCAGTTTTTGGTTTATTTGCAGTCTGACCAAGTGCAAGGACATTCCTGGGAATTGCAAATGTGTTCCTACCCCTCAGTTGCACATTGTCGCTTCCGCGGTTATGACTAGACTGCAGTGCCTGATGTGCCCTAGGTCCATTGGAGGTCTCAGCAGATTCTCTAGACTCAGATCCCCTGGCTGCACCAGTTTAACTTCATAAGTGAAAAAAGTATTCAACAAAACATGCAAGCATTATGACCACATGCAGAAAGGAAGTTCAAATAGATTTCTATCATCAGATCAAGAATTTTGAAAACGATGGAACAATGTAAGCACAACATATAGGACAGCTTGAAATATTCACATACAGAAAATTTAGGCAGCCACCTTTGGAAATGCAGAAAGTTTTATTATATTCGTTCTCAACAAAAGTGGATATTGTCTCTAAGTTTTCCTTTTTTACTCAAGTATAAAGTAAGGCTTGAAGACTATTATATCCAGTCAGGTTTTAGACTTCATTTTTTCATGATATCCTGTGTACTGGGTTTCAGCTTTCGCCCACTTTCGCAAAAAAAAAAAAAATAATTATCCACAATAAAAAAAAAATTGAAAGCCACTTGCAAGCCAGCAAAGACAGATACTCTCCTTTGCGAACAAGGTTTTAGTGTAAATGAGTAAACATTAAATCTAATCAAACCCCTAAACAACGTATTGAATCCATTCCAAAGGTGCAAATTAGCTTAATTGATAACTCCACTTGTATCATACATGAGACCTTTTTTCAAGTCTGAGTTTCATATTGGAGAATTGAGAATCCGTCCCTAAGAATTCAGGATTTTATGAATATTAACAATTCAGTTCAACTCAACTAGTTTGAGACTTGCTACATTCAAACCGAGCAAAATTTGATGAATAACTATTTTATTCCATTCATCTGGTACGCAATATAAAATGCATGATAAATTAAGTATGCATTCCAGATATTCTATTCCATATAAATACTCGAATTCAACCTCATGTAATTTTTATAAATGCATCAATTTGATTTAGATTCTGCATGTGCACACACACAGTTATGTAGAAAAAAATCCATTTGGCCTACCATGTTCTTTTTTCCCATGCTTTGGATCTGATCGTGCAATGCTCAGCTTCTTCCCAAGAAGCATCTGCTTATTTTTTGCTACAGCTGCAACGAGGTGTGCATCATCTGAGAAATCCACGTATGCCAGTCCCTTCACAAGTTCAAGGAAAATATAAAATCAGAACCTTCTAGACACAGATAAGAAGAAAGCAAAGTACAATGAAGTCAAATTTTTTATGTAAAAAACATACTTTATTCTGTGCTTGCCACGATAAGTAAGGTAATTTAATCAAAAAGTGAATCATAATCCTCATACGCTTGATTCTGTCAATTTAATTAAATCTAAAATAAATGAGACCATATCAACAACGCACTTTTCACTTCTGATTCATGCACCATGTCCAATAAATTAATCCCATATACTGATAGATAGATCAAATTAAGTTCATGTATGAAAGATATGTACGACAACCCCCGAGGTTTGTTCCCCAAAAAATCTGGCTGGATTCCTTTCACAAAGGTGTCACAGACATAACTACTAGAGAACACTCATGTGCATCATACAACAGGAATGCTTCCTTACTGAATTGAATAGGAAGCTTGAAATCTGCATACCAGATGAATACCTGGCATACAATCAAATGAAACAGAATATTACACCAGCCTTCTTTATAAGCTATTAACACTGGCCCCAGCCAACCGCCCCAAATCTCACATTTTTACTTTTTTATGTAAATCTTGTAATCTGAGTCACAACTGTGCCCCTTAAATTAAAACAAAAAAGAATTCACTCCCCACCCTCTCTTCCTCAATCAAAGGCGCATGCCTCTGCTGCAGAGGCCACTTGCTGCTGCCATCATTACTAAAAAGAATACAAAATTTCTTCAGATCCAGAACGTAGTTATATGCCAGGATTATTTCATTGTCAATCATTCCCTATATATATAAAGTTATGACTCTAAAGTGTCTTCCCAAATAGCCCTAAATTATCAGAGATAGATGTTGTCAACTTCAATTTCAATATCAATCCCCTTATGCCTCCAAACCATTAAACCAATCAAGGCCCCACCCTATCTATGAACCTTTAGACCCCTCCTCACCACCAAATCATTAAATTCTTGACATTAGCCACTTCTAGCATCCTGTGTATGATAGTAAAAGATGCCTAAATTGTCCTAGGTCAACTATTCTTATCAACTAAACCAGCCTTTTAGAGATACTGAAAATTAAAAAGGATTTGCACGCAACTATAAAGAAAAGATGGTCCCGTGCTTTTTTTACGGCAGCACACTAACATTATACATGTTAGCCAAGTTACTATCCTAGTGTCAGCATAACTTTTAAATCTGTGTATGCGTTTTAAGACTCTTGTTAATGCATGATAGCATGACATTTGTAGCAAAGTGCTAAATTATAGTACATCCAGTACAAAATACTCAACCCAAAGCACGACACACGGATAGGAAAAAAAATTAAACTGACAAGAGCAAGAGAGAGAGAGAGAGAGAGACCCTTGACTTTCCACTGAACTTATCATGCAGTAATCTAATAGCAACCACTCCCCCAACATCACTGAAGAATTGACGCAGATGGTCATCATTTGCCTGAAAAATACCAACAGTTTTCTAAGATCACACATGTGCGTTAAAAAGAAGAGAATGAGAAGGGATACTGGGGGCGTTTACTTGCCTTAAGGTTAATATTTGATACAAATGCAGTGCACTGGTCAGCATATACTTTTGTTTTCTCTGGAACACGCTCTTTCATCCGTTGCTCATTTTGTATATCCGGTTTGTCACCCTTAGGTTTGATCTTTTCCACTGTTTGTTCACCTGGGTTCAGAACATCAGAATCCTTCCCATGTGCTTTCTTTGGCTTTTGAGATGCATCTTTCTGCCTCTTTGCTGGATAATGTTCATCAGGTATCTCTGAAACTTGCTTTCTCTTGTCACGAACATTCTTCTTGGAAGAATTCTCCCCCTCTTCTGTCAATTTGGACTCTTGCTGTGACCTAAATAATTGAAGCTCTTCCAGGCGAGGAGTGACCTAAAAAGAGGAGCAGAAGTCAAGTATATCTATTCAATTAACAAGGCAATACATATGCATACTTACTCAAATTGAACCAAATAGGATACAAGATATAGAAGCACTAGTACTGGTATACTCAGTTTTGATAGAGGAAACATCCATTCCATCATTTTAATATGATGAATAGTTTGTTAATGATTGGGTGATAAATCTCCATTAAGATTACCTAAGCTGAGAACATCGCAAAAACCTTCTGAAGCACAACCCTCAGCATGATTTTTATAGTACAGTTCTTTTGACAACCTTTCCAAATTTATTTTATCGTTTAACTGTTCTGTGACCCATAATAAAGGGAACATAAAGTAGAAAAATTACCTTAACATTCACAAAGACTAAATGATTTAAATTTCCATACGACATTCAATTCATATGCGCAAAAGAGAGAAAATGTACCTTCTGTACTGCACGGTCAAAATCATCCAACGAACCAAACTCCCTCTCAAAGCGTAACCATGAGTAGCAGATGTCCTGAATTATTCTGTTTTTTAGGGAGGGAAGGCATCATCTAATCCCACATGTATTATGTAGCAAGTGAACAAACTTCTATATAATTAAAAAACACAGATAGACAACATCTAATAGAACCTTAAAACAACATTATTTTCCACATCATAAATTAAACAAGCAATGTCTCAAGGTAGTTAGATTTTGTAATGGAACTACATGTCAACTATATGAGTCAGTATAAACGCACACAGAATGCGAACAACTATTATCAAAAGACAAGGCCTTTTAGGAAGGAAGCAGGTATGCAAGACTGATATAATTTACTAGACATTCCACCGAATCACTTAATAACATAATTCAAAAATAACTTCCAAAATTTTCAATTATTAAGTGCTTTTGTTTCCTTTTCCAGAAACTTTATTTTATGTTGTTTTGTCTTTTTTAGTGCTGAATTTCAGATGCAGTAAGATAATTTTACTCGGATACGTTGTGTACTCTAAAGTTATAAACACCAGATTTCATGCATTGCCTCAAACTAGAAGCGAATTTTTAAAACATGGGAATGAATTACATTGTCTAGTGTTCAACATGGAAGAAATTGTATTCTCATCACATGTACCTATCAAGAGAAAAGACTTCTCTAGTTTGAAAAAATCATTGATTGTAGAACCTGGTTCTGAAAATTCCAGAACATACTTTAGGTTGAAATAACTGGCTTTCATTCGTATTGAAGGCTCTGGGATGGTGTTCTGTTTGTTGGTCTAGGTTTTCTCTTTTGGCTTTTGTGTTTCATGGACTACTTATCCATGCTTCTTGTAATTCCATTTGTTTTCTTTTAATAAAACTTTGTGTTTATTATCATAAATAAATAAAAATAATTGGCTGATGAATGCTGATTTAAATGTAAAGTTGAAGCCATATGATCCAAATACACTTGAGGGCTTTAAACCCCAAAAGGCTTACAGTCAAATTCTACACCACACATTGTGGCTGGGAAAGAGGGCGAATGTTGAAAATTTGATACACCATAGGTTGAACAAATTTGGAAACTGATACTCATCTAGTCTAATCTCATTGCCTGCTACAAAACAACCAAGATATTATATTTGATTTCTCTGCTAAATAATTGAATAGGATTATGGAAGAGGAACAGAGTGTATCATACTCAAACTACAATGCACACAGATCAGAACCCAAAAACTAGCCCAAGAAAAAAGAACTATTAAGCTGAGTAAACTAGGTTTGATTGGAAGATATAGACAAGGAAAGAAGACCTTACCTCTGAACCAGTTCCTGGAAATCTTTTACTGTAGCATCTCCTATATAGAGACCGAGCTTCACTCACATGGCCCAATTCAGCTTCCATTGTTATATAACCTTGCCAGGCTTCCAGCATTGAACCACTAACAGAACAAACATAAAATTAAGCATCATACAAACAAAAAACAGCACTAACAACAATCATGCCAAGGTAACAATCCAGATTTAGGAATGCCAGAATGGCCAGACCATATCTTAAGTAAACTTTCCCACACTCCACGAGCTGCCTGTAAGTCCTTATGCAGATTTAGCTCTAGACGGGCCCAATAAGCATGCAAACGTAACAAACCATCCGTGTTCTTCAGGTATTGTGAAAAGTAGTCTGATGCATTCTGAAAGTATAAATTGTTAGAATTTCCATGAGTACGAACAATACTTTCTTTCTCTAAAATGCAAAAAGCCTTAAAAGTCCTTAGCAGAATCCTAACAGCATATAGATTGTATTGTTCAGGACCACACCTTCAGGACTCCTAAATTACATAGCAATAAACGACCAGAAGATCACTCTGAATTTTTAGGTCATCTACTTGAAATTTACATAATCAGAATTGTGGGCTCATATAGGCTGAATATATGTAGGAACATTTGTAGCCAGAATAAAGGACAACTAGTGATTTTGTCATAGAGCCTCGATTCCACACAACAAAAAATAAGTTCAATAATCAATAATTAGGTCATTACGTGTACAAGATTGACATAGTTAGATTTGTGGCTCAGAAAAGCTGAATATGCATAGGAACAATTGTAGCCAAAATAAAGGACTACTAAAAAAAGAGTTCAATAACCAACAATTAGGTCATTACACAAACAAGATACTCTGACGTATGTATATATATAGTTTTATATACACACATAAAAGGTCAAATTGAAATATATTAAAGCTTCACAAAGGTCAAATAATGAATGCTTTTGTCATCCAGCATGACAGACAACAAATGTGACTCTGAATTTTTTTTCCTGGACACAATCAATGTGACTGCTCACCCTCTAATAATATGCATTTGATACTGTTACATTCTTACTAAATGAGCCAAAAGAAGAAGAAAAAAAAGTACAAAAAAGAAACCTGATGTAGTTCTAGCTCAAAACCATGAATTGTCGTAGAATAGTATTTTCTGTATGTTTATCTTAATTAATGTACACATATATCAAGTTCAGATGTGACTTCCCTTTGATTTCTTTTTTCTTTTCTTTCCTTCATTCGAAAGGTTACATACTGATAATGTTTTTTTATAATAGAAACAAACTAAGAATATTAATAGGACTTCAATCGATTCGAGCGTGGTCACACATATATTTGTACAAATATATAACACCTAATTTTTTTTAATATTCAAATTACAAGGTCACAACTGAAATCCCGCCCTGCACAATCCCATTTAATTCAAAAGACCAACACATACTACGTATTTGCAAATTGCTAAATGTGGAGTTTAATTCCTAACTACTTTTCCTTATAATCTTCATGCTGAATATTAGCAAAATGAAGTGTTTGTTTACGTAAGAAAAAGATAATAACACACCTGAAAGGTTTCCCTTATTAATGAATAATCCAAGACGCTCTCTCCTTCAACAGGGCATGAGATTCTTCTTCTTAAGCCATCTATGCGGGTGAGGTACAAATCCAGGAACTAAAAAATCGTAGTTCAATAAACAAACATATTCAGAAAAACATTGAACATAAATTCCGGAGACAGACAGACAGACAAATCAAATATAGGAATTTATGTACCTCATCAAGGGTTAGAATGCATTGCAGGGACTTCTCAAACACCTGAAAAATGAGCAATAATTTATAATTTGGGAGACCACTTTTTCACAAGAAATCAGAATGGACTTTGGACACTACATAATTCACAAAACATAATTTTTATTGGTTCTTCTTATGTTTTTTCACTTCTGGTTTGGTAAAGGCATCCCACAGGAGTCATAGTGAAAGTTGAGCTTGAGTACTCGTTGTAGAATATATTGGTCGAGATTAAGTCTGATGAGAAGCAAATTCTGTAATTACCATTGCATTCTCTTCAAAGTGACCTACTTGCTCTACAGTTTGATTCACTAGTTCTTTTGCACGTGTCAAGAGTCAAATGTTTTGGCATTTCTTCACACTCAGAGTCCAAGACTGTCATTCATCCCTCACTGTAACGAGAGCTCAAAATCAACCCCGCCCTTATTTACCGTAATACAAGGTGATCACAAGAAATTAAATATAAGATGGAAATTTTGGAAAGAAAAGGAAATTAACATAAAAGCAACATCAGGAATACCTTTCTAAAGCTTTGAGGAAAATACCATCGGACAAAATTTGCCTTCATATTTTCTCATTGAATTAGAGCTTTTAAACGAAAAGATGGATGGTAGAGAACACCAAAAAGGCCAAATGCAGGGGGCAAAAATAAGTAAGACAGACTTGATTAAGGACAACAAAGGTTCACATATCTAGAAGTTAATGTGGCCCAGTCAGTTTACCAATTTACAGAAGGAAAAAAAGAAAGCAAGTTGGCATACTCTTGAGTAACTGTTCAGAGCTAGTTCTTTCCTTTGCTTGGGCATTTTCTTATAAAACAACTGGGCAGCTAAATACGTGATGCATGATTTGTAGAGAAAAACGCAGCTTCAAAGATGTATTCATGTCTGATGCAACTTAATAACCAATTTAAAAACAAGTTTGCAACAAGTAATTAACATCCAAATTAGAAACAATCAAACATAAGTAAATAAAAGAATGCTCTCGCCAAACAAGACTGAAATCTAAAACGTACAGCAGCAATCTCTTTCTCAGAAGCATGCCCACGCTCCAAGGAAAGCAAATATCGGACCCAAAGTTCTCCAACACAGGGGCAATTCTTTACAGCCCTGGAATACACGTTGGTTATAATACTTCCAACCTGAAAAGGTAACATAAAACATTAATTACTTAACCAGCAGAGAGTTGCCCTCAAAACAGAAAATATATAATAAGAAATGAACAAGGAAAAAAACCTTTAATGTTTTATCCAAATAGTGGGTATAATCAAGCCAGAGATAGCTGGATATAGGAAATTCCGTAATAGCGCGTTCATACAACATCTGAACCCGGGATGGATCTCCAGAAGACTGTTCAAATTTCAAGTAGTTCTGCAGAACAGAATAAATTATTCTTTCCATAAACTGCAAACCTAACGCATGAAGTAAATAAATATATAGGGGGAATCACAATGACAATCCTATACAAAAGAAAGGAAAAAAAAGAGGCAGAAAATACTAACAGTAAGTTCAAACAAGACAAGGTTGCAAGGATATCAGAAGCCAAAATGGCCAATAAAAAGGAAAAATACAATGCCATTTCTAACATAAATACTTCTTTATTCCAAAATTCTAGGAAGTACTAATTCTAAATGATACATACCATGAAATTTTGAAGTTTTTCTGAGTCAGACATATCCGGACGACAAATCTGCTCTTCAAGATGAACACGAGCATTATACATTTCCAACGCCCTTTTGTATGCTGAGGCAACATGGGATGAAATCCCATCCAGGTCACTTGAGCCAGCATTAAGAATGTTCCCTTGTTCCACCTCCCATGCCTTGTAATCCAAAAGTGTTGACCTCATATTAACATGGGGAACTGACAACTGACGGTGGAATATAGTACGGATGCGCTGAATCTGCTTGTCTCTTGCCTGTGATGTGAGAAGCATTTCTTATCTATAGATGTCCAAAAATTATTTAAGTATCTAAAAGCAGCGTATAATTATCCAAAAGACAACCATAACAACATATGAATAATAAATAACTGGTAAGCAATCAAAGCAATAAAACTTGTTGGGCATTCAAATCAACACATATATGACAGCGATGCATCATTTTTAAGTTTGCAGGTAGAATTTGAAGTTTCCTTCTAATTTTTTTTATAACTAAAAACAAGTCATTTATTTATTTCAAGCAGAAGGTTAAAGGTTAAATCTGAAGTGCAATACACCAAATAGCTAAACCGCATTGAATTATGAAAGCGCAGTTGTCAATAGTCTGCTCAAGGATAAAATTTTGTGTACCCTAGCTCTATTAGAACCACCCACCACAAAAAAATTATGTTCCCTCCCACCGTTTCGGCATTACCTGGCTCAGCTTCAACTTTTTTGGGTTCCTCTACTCAACTAAACAAGGTGAATCAGAACTATGAGTCTTTTTCTTTTTTTGTTTTAGGTTATTTTATCTCTGTTTTGTTGTTTGGACTTGCTTTATCTTTAGTTTCTAAGAAAAGTAAATTTTAACTGAAAAAACCAAGCTGTATAAATGTTTAAGGAAACTACAAAATAACTTAGTTATCATAAAACTCTGTTCAGAATTACAATTATGTGCTTTATTCTTAAAGGGGTGAACAACATAAATAACTTCTCTGGTTTATTATTTTTTTTTTTTTAAAGAAACATAATTTTATCAAAGTAGGGCAGCTAATTACAAAGGGTGAATAAGGAATCCACAATCCGGGAAGGAACAATTAACAAGAAAGTACAACTCAAAAAATGTAAAATAGAACATGCTCAATAAACGAATAAGCATAATCTTAAAGTCAGCCGAAACCAATGCCCCTAAAGTTGCCCAGAACCTCACTCTATCCCAAAGTTCATCTACCCCCATCACCCTTATAATCCTCAAAGATTCTTGTATTGTGCTCCATCCAAATGTTCCAGAAAACTGCCAACAACAAACAACCCCATAATGGTTTGGCCTTCTTGCCCCTTCCCAAAGCCTCAAACTTAGTACTCATAAGCTCAAAGCATCCTTTTGGAATAACCCAGTTAGCTTTAAAGAAAACAATACAACACATCAAAGAACCGTAAAAACAGTGCTAAACGACTCTCTTCCCATGCATTAAAAAAAAGCTTCAGGAAATTCTTATTCTCCTCCAAAGTATTCTGAATTCTTCTTCAACATTCTTCAAGATTTCTACTATTTCTTTTCTTTCACTCCAGACAACCTATAGGCTTTTCATTGTTCCCTAACAGGTATTAAAAGAAGAGATCTGAATCATAACTAAAATTAGATACTGATCCACATATTTACATCTGTATGACTTAACTATTAAAATATCACAAGCCTAATCGTAATATAAACATGTAAATTTGAAACAAAGCAAAAAGATATTGGCAAAAAAGAAAAGATCACATAGAAATGTTGAACAATGAGACTAAAAAAGTCAAATATGGAGTTCAGATCAGATTGTAGTCTCTCTCTCATTTTTACTAGGAAACAAAAACTTCTGTGAAAAAGGAAAGATGTAATACATGAAAAGACAGACAAGATGTCCAAGTTACCACTACAAACCTGATTATCAGTCTCATCAGTAGCATCTAATATAGCTTGCTCAAATTTCCTGTAGGCTTCCCATAGTTTACTGCCTTCAGAAACATGCAAACCAGCTGCAGTAAGAGCGCGTTCAAATAGATCTCTTGCCTTCAAAATACCAGCAGGTGAACATTCTCTTACTGAGGGATCATTTTCTTGAACAAAATCTAAGTAGTCACGCCAAAGAGAGATGGACTGCAGTTGAAGGTAATATAGTTAACTGTCGATACTCCAAACAAGCAATTCTTTGATCATTAACAACAGAAAAAGATGAGCTACAAGTAATCCAATAATCAAGCTTCAGTCTTGGAAAAAGTTGCAAAGGATTACACATTTGATTGTGACAAAAAGCACAGATAATAGAAACCTTTTGCAGAGATACTGAGGCGAGTTATGTGCAAGCAAAACAGGAACATTGCTGGTATGGTATTATTCTGCTCTAATTGAAGGAAATGGATGGCATCCTATTTCATTTCATTGTTAATATTGTTTCTTTTGCTTCTCATTGTCATTTTTCACCCATAAACTGTCCAAAAGTAAAATAAATATGCCATGACATATTAAGATATAAATTTTTTTAAATTGCATATGTTCTGGAAGACAGGAGCATAACCAACCAGATACTCAAAGACTCCTCGCTCATAAAGCTTTTCAATAGCAGGAAAAGCATCAGACCTGCAAAGTGGAGAAAATAGAGTGATCTCAAATCAAACAATAATATAAAAAGAAAAATAAGCGACCCAAAACAGGCACTACTTTTTCTTTTCTGTTTCCATTGTTGTTGTTTTAAAATATGAAGAGCACCAAGGCTAATAGAAGTGCATTGATAACGAAAAGAGAGTACCCAGTGGACAGAGAAGCTTCGTCCTTAGCCCAATCCTGCCACATAGAAGGGGTTAACGGAAACAGCTCATTCATAGCTTCCCTTGCTTGCCTCAGCTTTTCAATGTCAGCTATCTGCCTCAGAGTCTTTATGTACTACAGCAGTAACAATAAGAATTCCAATTCAGCGTTTTTACTCGGCAACCAAACAGAGGGTAATCATATAACAATGCACAGCCAAAGAAGAAAAAAGAAAATAGGTAATGGAAATTCACAAAGGTAAATACTTGGACATGAGCATCGTAGTTGCCAGGGTTGGTGGAGAGCTCGGCTTCTAGGGTTTGGAGCTGCAGGTTTTTCTGGGCTTGATCTCCGTCCTCTGAGCCAGAATCAGAGTCGGAATCAGAGGAGCTAGGGTCTTGGTCAGGGAGGTCGGGCATGGGTTGGTCTCCATTGTTGTCATCTTCAGAAGTAAGAGTCTTTGATTGAGGGTTTAGGGTTTCTTCTTCCATGAACTCCGTTGGTATTCGTTTTTTCTTTATTTCTTCCACTGAGACCAGTAAGCTTTTTATTTGTACGCGCGGGATGTGGATATTGCTATTGGTATTATTGGGAGGGATGCCTCTCTCTGGAGTTTTTGTGAAAATCGGCAAAACTTCACCCAGTTTTCAAACCGCCACAAAAGCTTAAGGCGCATAAATTAAAATTATGCAGAAATGAAAAATGAAGAGCCTAGAAAAAGTTCGAAGTTTTTTTAAAAATTTATTTTGGGTGCTGATTTTCCCCTTTTTATTCACTTATGCTCCTTTCTAATTTTCCCAAAACCCTTTTGTTCATTTATACTTTTTATTTCTTAACGGTGCTTAAGAACCAAAGAAGAATATAAGTATAAAAAAAAGAGTGGGAAAATCAGCTTCTTTTATTTTTATAAAAATGATATTGAGAAGAGGGTAAAATTGAACCTAGCAAGAGGAGCAAAGGTAATTTACAGGCCTATTAAAAAAAATTATTTTAATGCAAGCGATATATGAAGGGGAATTCAAATAGAGTAGGAGATGATTAAAAAATAACAAAATTGATTAAAATGCATTAAAAAAACAAAATAGAGTATAAATGGACAAAATAGGAGTGCGAAAATCAACTCTCTTCAAATTGAGTACCTACTCTTAAATACTTGGACTACAAGTCTCTTGAGAAAACAAAATTTTCAAATTCTTAATAACAGATTTGGACAAGGATTCAAATATATCCATACTTACTATTCTTATGCTGAAAATTTATTACAATGTAGTTTCGTTGTAGCTTAACTTTTAGAAAACTCGTTAAGTAATAATGCTCATTTTATAGAGTCCACCTTTTTCTTATGAGTAATAGAAAAATTGATAATTTAAAAAAAATAACTGATAAATAAGAAATGATATAAAAATGGTAATAAATTAATAAATGTTAAAATATTAAAAATATGTATAAAAGAATGTTATAACTTCTCATTACATTACAAAAACCCTACCCATCCGTTTGAATGAGGGAAAATAACTCAAAATTTAGCTAAAAGCCGGGAATTTAATAGGAGAAATTAACAATTCTCTTATTTAGCAACTTAAGCACAGAATTTATTAAATGACTCATGGAAAAAATTATGAAAATTGAGGCATCAAATTCCCGAGTTTAATTTCCAACAAAATATGTGATATTTCACAATTTCCATAATGTCATTTACAAAATTCGACATATACAAATCCAAATAGTTAAATATGCAGTTGCCAAAAATGAAAATAATATAAATCTAAATTCCGTCATTTTAAAATTCTATATAATTTTCAATTTCTTTATCCAAACAGAGAGTGAATGAGAAATTGTATGCCCGTGATACATCCGTCTAAAAATTGCCATGAAAATCGTGGTCAAATAAAGATTAAGAAAATATATAATTTTATTAGATCTCAGATCATGCATTACAAAAACTTAATTTGATTCCGTTCTATCCAAAGTCATCAACACAAAGATACTTATTATACATATTGATATATAGGTAACTTGGAAATCATGCAACCTTGGCAGCCTTGATATCCACATCATCAGAGGAAGTAGTGTGGTGAGCAATGTCGATGAGCTTAGGCTGCCTTTTCTTCTCCGCAGCAAACTTTGGCACCGTAATTTTGAGCACCCCGTCGTCAAGATGAGCCTTGATCTGATCCAGGTCAGCATTCCCAGGCAGCCTGAACTGCCTCCAGAACTTGCCATTTGTCCTCTCAGTTCTGTGCCACTTGTCACCCTCCCCTTGTTCCTCCGCCTTCCTTTCTCCGCTGATCCTGAGCACCCTGTTCTCCTCCACCTCTATCTTCACGTCCTCCTTCTTCATCCCCGGAATGTCCAATGTGATCACGTGCGCAGTGGCCGTCTCCTTCCAGTCGGCACGTGCTAAAGCGAGCGTGTCTTGGAGGGCGGAGGCGGCTCTGGGGATGGTGAAGGGGGTTTGTTCGAGAATTCTGAAGGGGTCATCGGTCATGTCCCATAGACTTAGTGATGATGGTCTTGTTGGGTATGGAATTAAGGCATGGGTTTTGGTAGTGGTGGCCATGAGCATGAGGAGGAGGCCTAAGAAGCTCATCACTATCCTCCTAGGCATGGTGATGGTTTCGGTGAGACTAGACTGGTTTGATGGGAAATGGGTGGTTTTGTTTGTAATTCTTTCTGATGGGGAATGCGGACGGCAAGGGTGGATTTATATAGGATGGGATTTGATGGGTTCAGTTCAGGGTTTATGTCTGTCTCTCTGGATTCTTCTTTCTTGTGATTTTCATGGAGAAACAGAGAACAATCTAGGAGGGTCTCAAGATAGAAAAGCAGAGATTTTGGGAATGTTCCAGAAAGAAAAAGAAACAACCCTTATATTACACGTGGCGTTTGGAACAGACAAAGAAAAGCGAGCAATCTTATATCTGTTGTGGTTCGTTTGGATGAAGGAAAATAACTCGGAATTTAACTAAAAGTCAGGAATTTAAGAGGAGAAATTGACAATTCCATTGTTTGGCAACTTAAGCACGAAATTTATTAAATGACAAGCGGAAAAAATCGTGGAAATTGAGGCATCAAATTCCCGAGTTTAATTTCCATCAAAATATTGGAGCATATTGGAGCAATCCAGGAACAACAAAAAAGCGCCTATGTATTCAATCCCAGAAGGGTTTTGGGATCTTCATTCTATGTACAGGTTGGACCAAAGTTTGACAAAAAAGATAAAGAAACAGGTCACCATAAAAACCCCCACGCATACATAGATCCAAAAAGTTATCTTGTTCATCCTCCGGCCATTGATCTCCATGCCATCTTGATATATATTTAGTGTTATTTCCACTCTGTCCGCCGCCTGTGATGAACCAACATACAAGTTATGATTATTATTATTATTTTTGTCTAAACCAACATACAAATTATTAATAGGCGATGTTATACCCTTGGATTGTATGGTCGTAAAACATTTGACCAAAAACGGGCGATGAACCCTTGACCTTCCTGCACCAAAACACGCACAAAGTTATACCCTGGAAGCTCATAATTTGATCGTATAAACAAATGTGAAGAATAAGGGATGGGTGGATGAGATATGAATTATATTCACCACATAAGGAGGGTCCCAATCCGGGTTGAAACGAGGGTTGATTTGCTTGACGATGCTAATAGGGTACTTGATGGCCCCTCGTTTCCTTGGTGGATACTTGGAGCGGTAAATGCAGGTGCCACAAGCACAATAACATCCAGTGAACTCCAAACTATTCCCCTGGCAAACTGGGCATTTCTCCAATAGCCCATAAAACAGCATGTCTTGGCTGCCACAAACAATTTACAAGGCACAAACAAAATTAGTTCTTTCATCATATTGCGCCTACAAATTTGAAGGTTCTGAGGCCATAATATATTTACCATCTTCGGAGAAGTGCATCGTCAGAGCCAGACAAATCTTGGTCATTAGCTTCCAAGAATTCACGTACTTGTTCAATTGAGAGCGCTGCCTTAACTGATTCTGAGAATTCCTTAAATCTAGTAGCTATGTCTTGTATTTGGAGGTCGAGGTTGTCAACCGCAGGGAGTCGGTCCACCTGATCGTGAGAGACAATGAGGAGAACATCAAAGAGAGAAAAAGAAGAGAGGAGAGGTGAGGTGAGGGGATGAAAGAAGAAGGAAGTGACAAAATAAAATTCATACCGTAGTTCTTGCTCTTCGATTTCTCATGTTTGCTGCCATCGGAAACTCCAGAGAGTTTGTGTTGGCTGGTCTTGTTTGAACTGGCTTGCAGTAGTTTATTATGCCATTATCGATCAGATATGGATTAAAGGGCAAGAAAACTCATACATACATGCACTACTGCATGATCGATCCTCAGATTATGTATGGATAGAGCAAAACCATATCGAAACAAATACCATTTTTCGAATTGAAACAAACAAGCATCAATCAATCACCCAAAATAAATCCAATACACCCAAATCCCAAATAAATCAAACCCAAGCCACAAACAAGAAAAACAAGAAAAACAACAATTAAAAACGAAACTAACCGAGAATTGACGTCTTCACTGTGCGAAAGCCGTGGGTGATTTCACAATCCCTGACATTCAAACACTGGTTTAGGGGATTTGGGATCGGATCGGATCCAACTTACAAGGTATTATTGGTTTTTTATATATAAATGTTTTATCATTCTCTGTCTTTTACTTTATATATACATTATTATACTGAAAGAAATTGAATGAGAAAAAATATAGAAGCAATTTTGTTTCAAGTTGCCTATTTTACAATCAAAATTCATGAAATCTTTTTCAGACTATAAAAGAAAAAGGCGTTTACTATTTTAACTTCAAGTTGCCTATTTTACTAAATCAAATGCTTCATTTTCGTACTGAAATCTCTCAATGTTTTAACTTCCTTTTATAGCTAACAATATTATATGATCTAACAAAAGCCACTAATAATATCAATATGAAATTGTTTGTGTTGTACTATGTAATAGTTCGACTTTGTGGTTAAAGCATTTTTTTGAAAATACTTCGACCAAAAAACTGTACTACTTCGACGCTTCGATCAAAATATTTTATGTTTACAGAGTATGGCCACGCGGCTATCCCTTTGAAAAATTTTATCTACGGAGTATAGCCGAATGGTTTGTATTTACAGAGTATAGCCGCGGCTATACGTTTGAAAATTTCTATTTACAGCGTATAGCCGAGCGGCTATACTTTCGAAAATTCTATCTGCATAATATAGCCGCGCGGCGATACCGGTTTCTGTTTGCAGAGTATAGCCGGGCGGCTATACTTTTGAAAATTTCTATTTACAGGCTATAGCCGCGCGGCTATACTGTTGAAAAATCCTATCTACAGAATATAGCCGCTCGGCTATACGTTTGAAAATTCTATCTGCAGAGTATAGCCGCGAGGCGATACGTTTGAAAATTTATATTTACTGAGTATGGCCGATCGGCTATACTGTTGAAAATTCTATCTACAGAGTACAGCCGGGCGGCTATACGTTTGAAAGATATATAATTTTCTTACAAGCCCCTTAATTTATCTTCCTCTTTTTAATTTCCATGTTATATTTCATTTTCTTGATTGATTTTGGCAAAATGGGGTGCTTATATTTCATTTTTGGATTATTGTTTTTGCAGTGTTGTGAGTTGAAATTGGATACCAGTTCCTCTGGATGGCACAAGACCATGACCAAAGTTTTGAGCAAAATCAAGGGTACGTACGTGTATATATATATATACATAGATTATTATATATTTATTCCTTGAATCAATTCCACAGGTTCTGTTGCATTGCTTGAATTCATGATCTGCACAATTGATTTTATTTTAATTAATCTTAATCACCAAATTAATTAAGTCTGATTTGATTATAAGGGGTGTCTTACACCATTGTTGCAGAAGCCGGGATTGCACATGTTTCTGGGACAATCGATCCGGACACCCTTATGAAGTTATTAGCTCAATCAGGGAAGCATGCAGAGCTACTTAGGGATGACTCAGGATATAAGCATCAGTTCTATTACGGCAAAGCCTGTTGCTATTGCTAATTACAGAAATGGACATGGTTATGGGCAGAGTTTTAATAATAATCATGATTATGGATATTATAATCCCAATGGAACAGGTTCCTACCATGCAACAACAGATCCCTACCATCATCAGCAGTAGTATCCTAATTACTATGAACCGAAAGCACCACCGCTGAGTTTTCCACAGCCACCACCGCTGAGGGAAATTCACCCGTTTTATAATCCGGACACCCAATGCACCATCATGTGATGAGCTAATGAAATTAAAATGCCATGGGATTTAGGCTTGGCGTTTAAATTTCTAACTAATGCTATACATATATTATGTGTGTGATGCCCACTGCATATAAAATGTGGGCTATGAATTTGGTTTTTCTCTTCTTCTCCAATATTTGGGAGTTGTTAAGGGATTTAGTTTGCTTTGCAATTCTCCGATTATTAAAGGAGAATGTTGAATATTTTTTAATGGAGCTGTTCTATATATATTTATAATTATAAGTATTAGAAGTCAAGGTTTGAGTGGACTTGTCTCAAAGTTTTAGAAGAATGTAAACTGGAACTGTAATTGTTAAGGACATGGTATTTTTGATTAATTATGTCGATACATTTTGGGTTTTTGCTATTAAGATATTGTTCCCAAAATTGTGTTGTCTAACGAGAAAGAAATTCCAACAACTTAATGGAGAAATGCAAGCTCAGACATGTAGCATGAATGTGTGAATAATCTCAGAATACCATATGAGTGAGATGAGCCAAGAACCTTTTAATTATTCAACTGAAATGTAATCATCATAATATTACCAGGGCTGTGATGTGATTGAATGAGGTTAAGATTAACGCAAGTAAACTGAAATCAGAAATACTAAGTGAAATACACAAATTTATTACGGTATTGATTGGGATTGTTTCACAAAGGAAGAAGGTTATGGAATTATAGAACACATCATCAGCTCACACTCAAATAAATGACTTGGTACATTGTGTATGGAAAAGGGCAAAAACACATTATAGAAGCCCTACTTTGAGTGTGGTAGAAACAGATGGTGGGATTGGCTTGTGCCACAATAGCTCAAGCAATAATAATTTTTTTTCTTAAAAAAAAATCAGTTCTTGATGGTGTCCCTAAATTTAACAATGCAATCCAATGCGCGCTCAAATTCACTTTCTTCGAGAGCAATGGTGAACCGACAGTAGCCAGGAATTCCAGTCCAGGAACCACTGTTGATGCATAAGCCAGTAGCCTTGTGAATGACTTCCCTGATGTTTGAGTCATCAAGCTTAACTTCAGACATCGTTTCCTTTTGAGTGCTGCCTCCATCATTAGGCGATTTCTTGAATTTAACACTCTTGTTCAAATAAGATGAGGGCTTGGCCACCATGGAAACACCACCACAGGGTTCAAGCACATCCCAACCACACTTCTCCAGCGTCTATCAGAACAGAAGTAGGATGATTATGAAAATTAAAATGAGAAAGTGCAGGGGAAAACATTACTATAAATTAAGCACCTAAGGAGCCACTCAAGGACGTAGAGATAAGTAATCGAATCATTGATGAGTGAGAAATGAATGTGTGTGCGTGTGAGAGAGAGAGAGAGAGAGAGAGAGAGCGAGTTCACCTCTTTCAGGCGCTTGGATCTACTCTTCAAATTTTTTATATGTTCTGCAATAGCATCCCACAGATCTCCGGGTTTCTGCTCTCTCAGACTCAGCAGCTTCTTAATAGCATATTTGACCGTGTTATGAGGTTTGCTTAATCCTGGAAAGCTATAAAATGTCTCCACCAAAACAGACTGGTTCAAAACAAGGAACCCGAATTTGAGCGCCCCACTCAACATCTTCAAGGACAATTCCCCAAGCAGAGAGACACAGAAGGATGGGTTGCTAGAATTTAGCTTTGACAAACTATCCACCAGATTCCAACCGCCCCAACCCTCAAAGTCAAATTCCAAGCCCGAGAATGAAGTATCAATCACAACTCTAGCTCCAACTTTGGCACAAATAGACAGCAAACTTTCAATCTCTTTGTTGCTGTATATCAAACCAGTTGGGTTAATTGTTGGTCCAGAAATGTATACCCATGGCTTATTCACAGTCTCTAGTTCTCCAGAAAGCAACATATCTGTCAGTTTAAAGCCATCTGCAGGCTTAGTAGGTATAGTTACAATATTTGCTTTCAAAAATTTGGCAGCAGAAACATAGTTCCCATTCGAGCCAGCAGGAAAACACAATGTACCCCCTTCTTGAATGCAGCAAACAACCAGCTTGTTAAACAGAGCTAGCGAGCTGTCAGCATATATAAATTCGGTGCTGCTATCAACTGGATAACCATAAGTACTCTTGATGAATTGCTTGATGCTAGTGGTGACATCTATTTCTGACTCGGCTATATTCTGTCGAGCAAAACTTTCAAAAATAGCAGCCTTGACAGGTGATGGTACACGTAAGAAGCTTTGATCAACATCCATGTGAATCAGGGAAGAGTTCCCTGCCTCACTAATTGACAACTCTGCATTATTGAGGACTGAGATTGCTGAACTAGCAAACCCGATCATCTCTGCTGATTTAGTTGATGCAGTTTCCCTCTGAAGAACATATATGAAAACCAATTGGATAAGCAAACTTGTCTCCATGAATAGGAAAAAGGAAGATTTATTGAAGAATTCAATAAATTTCGCAAAGCAATTAGCAAGTAACAAACCACTGGAATTTTTGGCATAGTAGAAAGTATAATTGACATCAAATAGATTAGTGACAAAACTAAACATACAAAAGAGGGATAAAGAGAGAAAAGATTGTCATGATAATCTTCTCATGTGAATATTGCATCTTTTCTGAAACTTCCTGGCTAAACACGAGGTAGACCCCAGACTTCCATAACTCATAACTACTCTGTTCCAAATTATGACACAAGGTACACATAACATTCTTCAGATTTTCTTGTCACAAATCAAGCATTATATGCAGACCACGTTTACACTTCACAGAGAGATTTACCATGCCAAGCAATTTAAATGCAACATAGACTTAAGGTGCAAAACCACATTGAATGTTATTTATCCCCTTCCTAATATCATAAACAGAAGACAGACTATCTTCAGCAGAAAACAGAAGATGGAAGATAAAAAGTGCAATTTTCATCCAACCAGAATAACATCTTAGAATGTCTTTGAGAAAGTTATCAAAAGGAAGACTCTATACGTTGACCAAAACATACTTGGTACATTTGTTATTTCTTAGATGTTAAATACTTAAGTGGAAATAAACCCCTTAATAAAAAGGAACTGACATACCTGTGCAGGTGGGTGTCTGTCAGCAAGCTGAAAAGCTAAAAGTTCATGAAAAAGACAACCATAATAACATTGACTAATTGGTGCTGTATTCCCTTCTAGTAGTTCAACGGTCTTCGACAAGGCCTTGAAGATGGCTTCCTCTTCTGAAATTACAAAAGCTACTTCTAGATCTGAATAAACCTGGAAAGATTGTTCGGCTACTATTCATGAGAAGATTTTGCATTTAAAAAAAAAAAAACCTAAACAATAAATTTATACGAAAGAATCTCAACGTTATGGCTTTGAATTAAATTATATAAAAGCCTCCTCCTGAGATAGCCAGGTTAAGCTGGGGAATTTCAGAGTTCATATAAAAAGAAACAAT